GACTTTGGCGTTTGTTTTAAGTACTTCTCAAACGACGGAAATACGAATCACTTCTTTCTCATTGACGACCATTTCGTTGAGTTTCGCATATCCTATGAAAAAATAAAACATTTTCTTTTAACTGACATTCATTTGGATATCAAGTTTACTACCGTATTACGCCGCATATAGGTGCATGCACTTATATCTGAGTTTTCACACAAGGGGTGCACCTATATCCGGATATTGGTGCGGTAGTTTTTTAGGCAATTTTTACATTTTAGTTGAAGTCTACAGATTCATTAAAATAAAAATCATAAGATGTGTAATTTAACTTTTAACACTAAAGTGCGTCTAAATGTTTGAAATATATGTGCATCTTTTTTAACTTCATGAGTTTTATAAAGGTTGAGTAGATTCGTGTAAAATGTCTCAAGTAATAGACATGTCTTCAAGTCATACATCAATTCTAATAATTAAATTGATCAGATACATGAAATATTTATGTGTTTGCTTTCATTATTAATGAATGTATAATTTACTCATTAACTTGTTAACTTTTTATATATAATTTTGACAAATAAATTTTGGCGCACCTATATGTGATTTTTACACAAGGGGTGCACTTATATCCGGATATAGGTGCGGTAGTTTTGGTGACATGTAAAATCTGTGAAATTCACTTATAAGTGCATGCACCTATATGCGGCGTAATACGGTAATGACAAATTCAATATAAACAATTAATATTATAAGATTAATATAAACTTTATATCCAAATAGTCAACAAACACGGGGAGTTTTTTTTAATGATACATATTGGTTGGGACAATATTCTTGAGTCAAGAATCTTGACTTTCTAGTATAGAAGTAATATCAAAACAATCAAAATTTTACTATTTATTGTCAACACATGAGTTAACAATTTACATGTGGAAAGCATTTGCTGTGACGATACGGCCATACGATAGTGATTGACGTAATGGTATGGATATAGTGGGTCTGGATGTGAGACAAACCGTTTTGTTTGACACAAAATAATTGCATTTAAAACAATGGCAAATAAAACGACACTAAAAGTGCTATTTGTGCCGATCTTAGCCGAGGGTCACGTAAACCCGTGTATCGGTATTGCGAAGCAATTGTTAGCCGACGGACACCGCGTGTTGTTTACGGCAAACGGTGTCTGGCAAACAAAACTGGCCGCTTATGGCATCGAAACGGTAGAGTTGGCCAAACCTAACACAACGGATGATATGGACAGCAGCGCACAATTTATGATCTCTTTGGGTAAAATTGGCGGCGCGTCGCCCATAGAGAAGGCCCGACACGAGTCATTCAGTGCGGAGTTTTGGACAAAACACGCCCAGTATTTGGACACACAATTACAGATACTATTGGCCGCCATTCGGCCCGATGTCATAGTTGTGGATCAGTTGGTGACACTGCCATCAGTGGTGTTGTCGGGCATACCGTGTGTGTGGTGTTGGAGTGTCGGCCCTCTCGTGATGGTCGACGATGAGAGGACACCGCCCGGGGAATCGGGTTTGTTCAATTAAGCTCTAATTACATAGACATGATTATTATAAGCATTTTCTCATATAAAAAGTATTTTTCACTTTATTCTATGAGAGTATCATTATGTTAAAGTTTAGCCATAGGATTAACATGGTGTCTCATACTGTATTAATTCCTATAGGGTAGGGAATGGAGAGGGGGCGTTTAAACGATACAATAACACACATTATACTATTATTATGTTAATAATTATTGCAAATTAAATGACTGTCCAATTGATAGGACTGTCCGCTACGGGAGACCCGAGACTGTGGCACGAGTTGCGCCAATTGGCTAGAGATGTGAAGATAGAGAAGTGGCGGGCGTTTAACGATTGGGTGGTCGGCCGGGGCTGCGAACCACTGCCCGAACACCGCTTTTATAACCCGTCGCGTTATCTTCATATATACGGCTATCCCTTGGAGTTGGACTATCAGGACATCCGTCCGTTAGGACGCAATTATGTCCGCTTTGATAATTTTAAGCGCACCGAACGGCACATGACATTCGCTGTGCCGCCAGAGTTGGCCGCAAAACCCGGAAAGTTGGTCTACTTATCGTTCGGTACTCTCTGTCCGG